GAGGTGGGTGGGGGCCCTAAAATGAAAAATAAGGGGGGGACCTATTGTCCCCCCCAGCCCCCACCCCTGAGCGGTGGGTGGGGGCCCTAAAATGAAAAATAAGGGGGGGACCTATTGTCCCTCTCCGGCCCCCACCCCTAAGCGGTGGGTGGGGGCCCTAAAATGAAAAATAAGGGGGGGACCTATTGTCCCCCCCGCCCCCACCCCTGCGCGGCGGGTGGGGGCCATATTGATAATGAGGGGGGGGACCTACTGTCCCCCTGGCCCCCACCCCTGCGCGGCGGGTGGGGGCCATATTGATAATGAGGGGGGGACCTACTGCACCCCCCGGCCCCCACCCCTGCGCGGCGGGTGGGGGCCATATTGATAATGAGGGGGGGGACCTACTGTCCACCCCCCTCCGGCTCCCACCCCTGGCCTGTGGGTGGGGGCCATAAAGATAATGAGGGGGGGTGACCTCCTGTCCTCCCCCCCGGCCCCCACCCCTGGGCGGCGGGTGGGGGCCATAAAGACTAATGAGGGGGGGAAGGACCTACTGTCCTCCCCCCCGGCCCCCACCCCTGGGCGGTGGATGGGGGCCACAAAGATAATGAGGGGGGGGACCTACTGTCCTCCCCCCTGACCCCCACCCCTGGGCGGCAGGTGGGGGCCATAAAGATAATGAGGGGGGACCGACTGTCCTCCCCCCCGGCCCCCACCCCTGGTCGGCGGGTGGGGGCCACAAAGATAATGAGGGGGGGACCTACTGTCCTCCCCCCCGGCCCCCACCCCTGGGCTGCGGGTGGGGGCCCTAAGTAAATTCCCTCAAAAATAGTGAGGGGGGAATAAAATAACTAACCTGTCGTCTTCTTTTTTCTCAAATCTTCATTTTTCAGCCCCAAAAAAGGCCAAATAAAAAACCATCATAACCATCGAATTGAAAATAAAATAAAAATCCTGAGCGCAAAAAAAAACACAGACGAAAAAGAAAAAACCAGAGCGCAAAAAAATAATCCATCTTCACCCATGGAGGGCTCCGCGCAGACTGAGCTCTGCAGGGCGGGGGAAGGCTTATAAAGCCTTGCCACGCCCTGCAATTAGGCTAAGAACACTCTGCAATTAGGCTAAGAACACGCTATGTTCGCCGGGAACTATTCGCCGGCGAACCGTTCGGGACATCACTACTGAAGCCCATGGATCAGCGCAGTCAGGGGAATGGGCCTTGACAGAGTCAAGGAGTAGGCAGGTGGAGTCAAAGATTTAGGGGTGGGTAATTAGTAATGGGTTGTAATAAGGGGTGGAGAAAGAGGGAGTATATTAAGCAGCCATTTTAGCAAGTGGCCATTTTAATCAGAATCTGCACTTACCTGTTAATTGTCCCTCCCACCCTCCCTGCGTTTTTGTAGCAGTTCCCGTTTGGTCACAGCGGCGGGATAGGGCTAGGGTAATTGGGATGGAAGACGAGTATTAAGTGGCTAGGCTAAGGTTAGGCTGGATTAGGCCAGAGTGGTAAGTGGTCTGTTGGTTCGAGCTCATCGGTGGCTCCGAACCTGGTGGTGTAGGGGTGTCTCGGTACACCCCTACAGTTAAGAAAGTTATGGTTATGGGGCCTCTTTGGTAGGCCGTGTGTTATATATTATGTGTTATTTATATTGTTATATATTGTTTATGGTATGGGGTCATTGCCAGGGGTAATGCTGTACGGAAGGGGGCGGTGGTAAATTATTATTATACGGCAATGACCCCAATTTGTTATCTTGTTTATGATTACAATAAAATAAAGCTGTGGACTTTTATATTTCCAACAGAAATTCGGTGTCTGTGTTTTTTGGGTGGGTTTTAAGGGAAAATGCCACAAGCCGAATAACGACTGTGCGCATGTCATGCTGAATACACAGACTGCTAAATACAAACAAACAGACTGCTGAATACATACACACAGACTGCTGAATATGCACACATACACACAAACTGCTGAGTAAATACACACAGTCTGCTAAATACACACACAGACAGCTGAATATAAACACAAACTGCTGATTACATACAAACAGACTTACACACAGACTACTGAATACACACACACACACACAAACACACACTCCTGAAAACATGCACACAGACTGCTAAATACACACACACACAGACTTAATTGAGGCGTGCAGTGTGTGTGTGGCAGTGTGTGTAGGGGTTCAATGTGTGAAGGGGTTCCCTTTTGACTCGGAGGGGTGACACTGCACTGCCTGGTGGCTTGGTGGTAGTGGCTCCTCTGGCTGCAGGCTGACTTTTCTCCTCTAGCAAGGTGAGGACTGTGTGGGATTGTTGCCGCTTGTTACCATGTCAACACTCAGACACAACACTCACCTTGCTGGAGGAGAAAAGTTAGCTTGCAGCCCGAGGAGCGTGCCACCACCGGACCAACTGTCAGCCTCTCAGGTCCTCCTTCCCTCCCTCTGCTGCAGTGAAGTGCTATGTGTCACGTATTCTTCCGCTTATAGAAATGTGGTTAATGACATTTACTGTCCGCACAGGAAAAGTTGTGCCGAGCAGCAACCTAATCCACAGAAGGTTTAATGCTGCAGTAATTGTGCAAATGAAACCTGGTCTCATGTATTCATCCGCTTATAGAAAAGTGGTTAATGACATTTACTGTCCACACAGGAAAAGTTGTGCCGAGCAGCAACCTAATCCACAGAAGGGTTAATGCTGAGCAGCAATTATGCAAATGAAACCTGGTAACTGACTTTGGGGTCAAAGGCCGGTTACAGCCTATCAGAAAGAAAGGAGGGGTATTTAGGCCCAGTTCTCAGCCTGCTCAGTGCCCTGTCGTGGTTGTCCGAGAGCGCGTTCCTGTTTATAGTTTTCTACCTGGTTTTTGACTTTGGCTTTGTTTATTGACTTCTCTATATTCTGGTATCCTGACTCCTGGCTTTCCTCATCGCTGTGTCCCTTTCTGTGTTCCCTGATCTCGTATTTTTGACTATTCTTTGTACGTTAAATCCGGCCATTCTAAGGACCGGTAATACGTTACTTATTTGTCATCCGTGCTGTACAGTTCTACGTGCTGGATCAAACAGTAATCCTGACACAATGAGGCCGGTGAGGGATATCTTTCATCTTCCCACCATCCTGAGAAGGAAGACAGCAAGGCTGGCTCTGCATGGGCCAGCAGTGAAGATGAAAGGCCCATGGCCATCGTGGTGGGGCCCCCATGCTTGTGTTGCCCCTTGACAGCTGCCTATCATACCTATACGTAAAAATAGCACTAAGTATACCTGGGTCTCCCTAGTATGAACAGGGCTTTAACCCTGCTCACTCCAAGTTGTACCATCGGGGGATTTATATGCTCATTTAAAGTACTGAGTGCAGCACTCTCCTTAATTCCTGCATGCAGCTCTTCTGTCATCATGAAGTCACCAGTTCTGGGCCCAGCTAAAAGAGGAGACCCCTGGAATTCCCTCGTTACCAGCAAAGAAACAGGGAATTATTCCTTCATGGGTCCACAGATAACAAATGTGCATTCCTAATGAAATAGTGCCCTGCTAAAAGTCTAGGTCTTCGGCTCCCCTTGTGAGAAGTTATTAAAAAAAAAAAAATCTTCCTCGCAGTGCAGGTCTCTGCTCCTTCTCACCTTCCTGTCTGAGATTGAGGTTGATGATCTAAGATAATCCAATGCGAGTTTTGAAGAACAGCAATGTTTTACATTGCAGAGACATTGATGATGGAATAATTCCGTTTCACATTTTAAGGGGTTAATATGTGTTATTATGAGTCTTATCACTTGACAAAATCATTACCAATTTCAGCTACCAATTTTAGTAGTAAATTTTTATTATTTTCGAATATGTATATTGAAATTTAACAGTGAATTTCACAGACCTTGTGTTTGGAAACCTTGCACTCCAAAGTGTAGAGTACAAGCATATAAAAAAAAAAAAAAAAAAATTCAATAGTCAACTAGTACTATTCACAGCAACATAAACAATAAATCCCATAAGGTTCCAGATAAGGAATCATTCAGTATAAGTCCTTGATATGTTTTCAGACTGAACATTGCTTTTTCATTACAAATAATATTTTTATCATCTTCTGCTAGGAATATAACACCATCCTCAGGACCAAATTAACATAGGGGCTGATGGAGCTGCAGCTCCAGGCCCATGCCAATGGAATAGGCCCATTGATTTAAACACACTACTCTTGAGGCCGTCTGGCCGGTGCCGACATTGCAGTAATACCAGCAATACAAATGTCAGTATTTTTCTCAGTATAAACAGAGATTACTTTGCAATACCAGCACCGGCCAGTAGGGGTCGCTGTGTGTGTGGAGAGAGGCAGGGATAGGAAATTATAGCATATATTTGCATCTCTCTACTCACTGATCCGCAGGGGAGCAGCTACACAGCACAAATAATCCAGACAGCACCTCCCAGCCTGCAGAGACAGCCTACAGCTAAGGGAAGTCAGGGATGGGGTAAAGGCTGCAGGGAGACATGGGGACACTGAGACACTAAGGGGACTGTGAGACATGGGGACACAGGGAGAACTCTGGGGACGCTGAGACACTTGGGAACATGGGGACAGAGACATATATGGGGACACTGAGACATGGGGACACTAGGAACACTGAGACACTAGGGGATGCTGGGAGACATGGGGACACAGACACACATTTGGAAACTTGGGGACACTGAGACATGGGGACACATAGACACATGGGGACATTGAGACACTTGGAGGCATGGGGACACTAAGACACTAGGGAAACAATGTTCCCAAGTGTCTTAGTGTCCCCATGTCTCCCAGCCAGTGTCCCTGGTGTCTCAGTGTCCCCATGTCTCCCAGTGTCTCAGTGTCCCTAGTGTCTCAGTGTTCCCATGTCTCCCAGTGTCCCCATGTCTCTATGTGCCCATGTTTCCCAGTGTCCCTAGTGTCTCAGTGCCCCCATGTCTCACTGTCCCTCAGTGTCTCAGTGCCCTCATGTCACCCAGTGTCTTTGTCCCCATGTCTCCCAGTGTCCCCAAGTGTCTCAGTGTCCCCATGTCTCTCAGTGTCCCTTAGTGACATGGGGACACTATGAGACATGGGGACATTGGGTGACATGGGGAACTGAGACACTGTGATACATAGGGACACTGTGATATATATTCTCAGTATCCCCAAGTCTCCCAGTGTCCCCAAGTGCCTCAGTGTCTTCGTGTCTCACAGTGTGGGCTACATAGGGAAACACAGAGACATGGGGACAGTGGGAGACAGGGAGACACTGGCAGCAATCCATCTATACAGCAGAATCAAACAGAATCAAAGTAGTTTTTTGTTGATTTTTTTGTGATTTACATCATGAGATGTCACGCATACATAATTAGTTATGAAAATTAGTAAGGTCTGTATTTTTTGCCAAGAAAGGTGGCAACCCTAACTACTCTTCACATACTCTTGCTTATGTATAGAAACTTAAGAGTTAAAATATGCTTAAGTATGAAAACAAAACTTGTGTGGGCTAGCTGAAATGAAATTAGTTAAAGGGACACTATAGTCACCAAAACAACTACAGCTTAACCCCTTAAGGACACGACATGTGTGACATGTCATGATTCCCTTTTATTCCAGAAGTTTGGTCCTTAAGGTGTTAATGTAGTTGTTCTGGTGAGTATAACAGCTCTCTTCAGGCATTTTCATGTAAACACTGTCTTTTCAAAGATGACCACTGGGCTTCCTGGCTCAGGGCTGCACAGTAAGCAGCCCTGCTGTTCAGCGTCCACACGTTCTGCATGGAGACGCTGAATTTTCCTCATAGAGATTCATTGATGCCCCTCATAATTGTCAGCAAAGGCCCATTGGGCTCTTAATCTGGCCCTGACCATTCTAAAGCACTGTTAGGAGTACACCTCCAACAGAATTACTAAAAAGATGAGATCACCAAAAAAACATGCAGCAAAAAAAGCATGGGTTTCAACACTGTGTAGTGCCATTTTGAAGATGCAAAAACAAATGTTTTGACTTGCAATAATTCTTTCAATTATATTTCAAAGGTGTTCAGAAGGGTTGAGATTTGTTCCCACCACTTGAGTTCCTCTGCATTAAATTCATTAAACCAATTTTTCATGGAGCTCACTTTGTGTAATGGGGTACAGCCATCCTGGAAAAGCACAAGGGCTTTCCCCAAACTGTTGACACAAAGTTGGAAGCACAGATATATAGTGTAATGGATATCT